AACCAATGTTTTATCCTCAGATGACTTACTCGAGGCATATATGTTCCAAGGGCAATGCTTGGTTCTACAAAGTGCCTTTACCTTTAACCTCACATCTCTTTTATACCACATTTCGTGTCCATACTTCAGTGAGTAAGTTCTGAGTGCCTCTCTAAACACATGGAAATTTGCAAACATCATTCTTAGTTTTAAAATTAGATTATTGCTGCCAGTTTCAGGATTGTATTCTTTGAACCTTCTCCCATTATCTTCACCATCTGATGCACCCCTTAAAGTAACAATGTCGGAATCCACCAACTAATTGGAATCCACCATAAAATTGAGTAAAACTCATAGGTATTCGATTGATAATAAACTGAATTTTTCAGGATGCCCCAACCCATTCCTTTTTATGTAAGAGAAAACCCTAGACTTACTTGGAAAGTTAATTAGAAAACAAAATGAAAATAACAAAAGTTTCCCAAAATATTCCTAAGTAAAATCATATTAGGAAAATAATATCATGATAGATAACTTATTCTAAAAATATAAAATAAAGCATTAAAGTAAATATAAATCTTGACTTAATCCATAATTGCTTTAGACTTTCTCAATCAATCAGAAAATCTCAACGATAAGCCTTCCTTCTTTTCCTAGGGCCATAATTGATGCTCAAACATGATTTTTCATATTTAAAAATTTTCTGTTTTTGAATTTTGTTCCTTTCCTAAATTTCCTCCGTAGGAAAAATCCTATAATTTTTCCTACAACAAGCCCCTTCACTTGTAAAAAAAACTCGACCTCCAGTTCTCCTTAAAAAGAACCTAAGTAGACATAGAACTAGATGTGTATATAAGCTCTTCAATTTGTGGCATTTGAACTTGCTCATACTTGGATGGACAAATCATATAATTAATTCCATAAAAAAGATTAGAATATGCGAGTTGAGAATCAAACTCCTTGTATGAATTATTTTCTTCTCAAACTTCATATTTATCCATACCTTTAATATCAGAGGAATCAAATTGTTGTTCTTCATTTTTTGGGAAATCTTCAACAACAATAGGAGTTTCAATTGGCATAATCTCTTGTTTTTCTTTAATCTCTTCCTCCATCTTGTGGGTTACTATATCATCAATTTATTCAACATCCATCAAAGTTTCTTTTTGTTTGACATCTTCCTCCATCTTTTCTTGACTCACCATGATATTGGGTTAAGCAATCCTGTAACCATTCCTTAACAAATATATATCATACTCAAAATGAAAGAATTTTTTCACAAAAAGTCTCTTCATCCAAAGCCAAGAACTGATAGGATTACCTTATTTTTTTTCCCGAATTTTCGCATCTGATCCCACCAAGAAGCGACATTGTCTTCTAAACGGGATGCAACAATTTTCACCATCTACTCTTCTGTGATCATTATTGAATTAAATATTTCCTCTACATCTGCAACCAATTGGAGAAAACCTTCAATGTAGTCAATCCCCTTGAAGTATGGAACAACTGCAACATCAAATTCGTTGAGAGTGATTGGTTCCCCGTCTCCATAGGTCCTATCTTCTTCCTCTGGACGAGCCATTGGAGACACCTTAAGTCAGACAAAACTTGGCTTTGATACCAACTGACGCATCGAGCTATAAAGGGATAGAGAGATCGAACGATAACCCTAAAGTCATAATGTCGAAATCCACCAACGCATTCCTTTTATACAAGAGAAAAGCCTAGATTTACTATGAAAGTTAATTAGAAAACAAAAAGGAAATAACAAAAGTTTCCCAAAATATTCCAAAGTAAAATCATAACAGGAAAATAATATCCCGGTAGATAATTATTCTAAAAATATATAATAAAACATTAAATTAAATATTCTTGAGAGAATCCATAATTGCTTCAAACTTCCTCAATCAATCAAAAAATCCCAACCACATGCCTTCCTTCTTTTCCTAACGCCATTGATGCTCAAGCATGATTTTCTATATTTGAACCCCAATTTTCTAATTTTGAATTTTGTTCCATTTCGAAATTTCCTTTGTAGGAACAAGCCTATAATTTGTCCTACATGAATGCCGATCTTAACTCTACATTGACTACTTTACCAACCAAGAAAAGTCTCCTTCACTATAAAAAGAAACCCCAAACCCTAAAAGGTGACAGTTGAAACGATATTTTTGAAAAGGTAACAGTTGAAACCCACACAAAAGGAAACCCCTAAAAAAAACACATTCGAAACCGAAACCATAAAAAAAACACTAAAGTACGGAACCCACACCCACATGTTTCAGAAGTTTGAAACTTACCATATTCTGGTGCGATATTTCCTTGAAGCCGACACAATAACCCTAAGTTCAGCAAGATTCGCTTACCCTCTGCAATTGACATAATTCAAAGGCTTTTGGCCATTCAAAATTGTTTTGATTCGAAGGCTATGTGAAAAGAAATCGGGTCTGAGAATAATGTTTGGGGATTAGGGATTTGTTTAACATTCGGCATTAGGGTTTAGAGTACACCATATTTCAACACCTGTCCCAAGAGTGGGCGTGAAAAATAAAATTATCCATGACATTTAAAAAAAAAATATCACGTCAAAGCTGTCAAGTCATCACTTAACGACTCCTAAAATTTGGATACTAATATAATATGTAGTTGACCCTTTCTTTTCTTTTCTTTTAGAATATATATATATATATATATATATGTATATGGTCTAGTTTTAGATTTTGAGTTATTGATTCATATTATTAACATAAATATATTTAATTTCTTTTTAGCAATGGTGTCAAAGTGAAGGGATTCTTTCCATGGACGTTGCTGGACAACTTTGAATGGAGTTCGGGATACAATGTTCGATTTGGTATTACCTATGTAGATTACAACGATAGGGTTAAAAGGCACCCAAAACTCTCGGCGCACTGGTTCAAAAGTTTCCTTAAGCAGTATTGAAAACTTCATATCATATTCGTCATTCAATATTTGAATTTAATTCAATAATATGAATTTTATATATGTACAATAATTTTAGAGATTCCAAATTTATGTACATACAAAATTTGAATTCCAAATTTGTGTACATACAATAATGAGGTTTTTTATTTAAACCCCGCACTTCTCTTTGTTCACCCCAATACTTAAATCATTAAGCTGTAAATTTTATTATTGTATAAAAAGACAAAAAAGGTCATCCAACTTAATAATTAACCCTAGTACATCTATACACACACCCCCACACACCCCACCACTCTTTATATTAAGTTTTAAAAACCTCCTTCCAACTTCCTGTTTTCAAACTCTCTCTCTCTCTCTCTCTCTCTCTCAACTCAACAATACTCAAGTGTTAGAATTCCAGTTACAGTTCTTGGAGAAAAGTAAAGTTGTTTTCTTTCTCTAGGAAATATTAGATTTCAGATTTGGGGTTTCATTTGTTTGTGTTTTTTTTTTGCTGAGAACAAAGAAAAATGTGGGATTTAAATAGAAAATCTCTTTTAGTTTTTATTTTTTTAGTTTGGGGTGTATTTAAGGGTAGTTTGAGAAGATAGTGGGGTTTTCTTAGAAATTGTGAAAATTTAAATTAAAAGTTGGGGTGAACTTAAAACATGGGGTGAACTAAGAGAAGTGTGGAGTTTAAATAGAAAATCTCTACAATAATTTCAATTTTATTCCTTGTATAAGATTAAATTTCCATTAAACCCTCGTGTAAAATTAAACATTTATTTTTAGTCCTTTGATGATTGTCAACATACACATAATTATTAAACCCATTTGTTTGTAGTTCTTTGGCTGATTGTTCCTAATTTTCATCCATTTGTTCAAATTCCATTGTACTTTGACCATTATACGACAGTGTAAAAAAAAAAAATTTGAAATTTAGTGGATTGTTTAGAGGCTACAGTACAGCCATGATGTATGGCTTGAGTCACGAGCGCGTATGCACAAACTGATCACTAATCGGACTTGAGGCTCAACCTTAATAACCCAAAATGTCTACTTGTTAGAATCTCATAAAACATAATTGTGGGAACCAATTAAATCAAAACCCTAGGTCAAATAATTCCTTCCATTTGGGGATTATTTGACCTAATTGGGAATTACTCAACTTAATTGGGAGTTACTCAATTTAATTGGGGGTTACCCAATTAAATTGATAATTACCTAATTAAATTGAGATTTGATTTGATACCTACCACAATTAGGGATTTGACTTACCCTAATAAATCAAATCCCTAATTAATCAAATTAATGCCAAATCGGGGAGGAATAATTCCTTACCAACTACGGAATTATTCCTCTGAAACCCTACCATCCGAGACCACTATAAAAGGATAGTCACACACAAAGGTTAAGGTATGTCTAAATTCCTACTGAAACTCTGCAGAAATTATTTCTCACAAACCCTAGCCACCACTTTCTTTCTCTCTCTGACACAAGGCTCCGGCCACCACACACGGCTCCAGCCACCCGGTTTTCCTTGAAATACCCTACCTAACTTAGGCATTGGAGGGCCTTTGGCCAACACCCCCGGGTGTAGTCCTTTTACCCCGATTTGTTTTGCAAGGAGAAAGAGAAGTGGAGAAGACGAAGGAATCTTAGACGAATATTCTAGTGGGACGAAATTTGCTCCCACAAATTGGTGCTTTCAATCTCCTAATCTGCCTCACGGGCAGGGCAACCAAGGGGATCGACCCTTGGGAGCTGGAGAAGAAGTTAGCCAATCACGCTCGAGGCACCGAAGACGTCGACCTGAACGACCTTCCTTGCGAGCAGAGGATGACGATTGACTCCCACTAGCCCGCTCGAGGACCAACACGCGGCGACAAGCTGCAGAGGAATCCTCACAAGCTCAATCTCCTAATCTGCCTCACGGGCAGGGCACCGAAGGAGATCGACCCTTGGGAACCGAGGAAGAAGTTAACCAATCACGCTTGAGGTACCGAAGACGTCGGCCCGAGACTCCAACCCTGTGAGCAGAGGATGTCGAGAAGCTAGTAAAGGTCCAACTCCGAGGTCACCGACTTCAAGGAAGCATGGAGGAGGCCCTGTGCAAGGAAATTGATCGAGTAGACTGCTCGCCCTTTACCGACGAGGTGGAACGAGCTCCCCTGCCGAAGCGGTTTACAACGCCATCCATCACTCCATTCAAGGGGAACTCTGACCCTAAGAGCCATTTGAGACACTTCAAGAGCGCCATGATCCTGTACAAGGCAGATGACGCCCTGATGTGCAAACTGTTTGCGATGACTCTGCGAGGAACAGCTCAAGATTGGTTCCACACTCTACCGTCCGAGTCGATAGGCAACTTCAAAGAGTTCGCCCTCATTTTAACAAAGGAGTACAACTCCTACAAGACGGTCAGAAAGCATGCGGACCACTTGTTCAACCTGCGCAAGAAGCCAAACTAGTCTCTACGAGACTACCTGAGACGGTTTAAGGCTGAGAAGGCTAACATCATAGGATGCAATAACTAAGTTGCATCCTCAGCTTTCAAGAAGGGCTTGCCAACCCAGCACGAGCTATACCGGGAGCTGGCAATAACTCCAAGTCAAACTTCGGAGGAAGTGTTCGCGACGGCAGAGCGCTACGCACTTTGGGATGATGATCGTATCGCCGCAAAGAAAGCCAGCAAGCAAGTTGACCACTCGACGAAGCAGGCAAGCCAAAGGAGCAATAAGTTCGAGCAAAAAGCCCGGGATAAGCGCAGATCGCGACCCCAAGAGAGAAGCTCAGAAACGGGGACCTTCGCTGAATTCGCTATCCCAATCCACCAGATCTTAGCTCAGGTGAAGGACAAGCCGTGGGTGAGAAGACCACCACCCATGAAGGGAGACCCCTCTAAAAGAGACACTAGTAAATACTACACATTCCACGGGGAGCACGGTCATTACACCAACAACTACAACGCTTAGAAAAGGCACCTTGAGGAGCTGGTCAGAGAAGGCAATTGCACAGAGTTCGTTGCAAAGAATGCCATCCAGCAGATTGAGGATCATGATGCAGCTGCCAAGGAACCTCCCCAAAAAGTCATTCGAATCAACACCATTCTAGCTGACTCCCAAGAGTCCGGGTTGACCACCAAGGAGCGCAAGAGAAAGATCGCTCAGGCAACTTATGTCTCCTAAGTCACAACGGGAATACCAACCATTGTGGATACACCCATCATCGGCTTCCAGAAGAAGGACTTGATCGGGCTTGACCTGCCACATAATGACGCCCTAGATATCTGCATCTAAATTGAACAAGCTGTGATCAAGCGAGTTCATGTAGATGAGGGCAGCGCAGCCAACATCCTACAACTATCTGTTATCCAACATATGGGGTTCGAGCCCAAAATTAGCAAACTTGCCAGATCGCTCACAGGCTTCAATGGGGCCACATCAATCACTGTTGGAACGATCGACCTTGATGTCCACTCACCCCCAGTGGTCTACTCACAAACCTTCATGGTTATGAACGAGGTTTTCCCCTACAACGGAATCTTGGGCGACCGTGGATCAGCAAGATCGAGGCCATCACATCTGCTCTACATCGAAAGATCCGCTACCTCATACCTGGGGGCGGGATCGGGCAGATCAACAGTGACCAAGCCATGGCAAGGAGATGCACAACCCAAGGGCTCAAGAAGAGCAAGCAGCTGCAGTTCACACCAGTAATACAAGCTGGCAACGAGGCAGGAAGCGCTTCTAGCAGACAAGCAAACCTGAAAGAGAAGGGAGTTGTTGCCCCACAATAGTAGTTAAGGAGCCAGGATCAATATGAGGGAATCCGCCCAGAAGACTCCCCTGAAAAGGGTTGGAAGCTTGAGGATGACGTTGAGTTAGTACCCCCTGATCCTGGCCGGCCAGATAAAGAGGTGCAGATCGGCTCGCGCCAGAATCCAAACAAGAAGGATCGAGATGAGGGAATCCGCCCGGAAGGCTCTCTTGAAGAATGTTGGAAGCTTGAGGAAGACATTGAGTCAGTACCCCCGATCCTGATCAGCCAGACAAGGAAGCACAGATCGGCTCGCGCCAGAATCCAAACAAGAAGGATCGAGATGAGGGAATCCGCCCGAAAGGCTCCCTTGAAGAAGGTTGGCAGCATGAGGAAGACGTTGAGTTAGTACCCCTCGATCCTGACCAGCCAGACAAGAAAGCGCGGATCGGCTCGTGCCTAAGCCCAGACGAGAAGATGAAGCTGACCATCTTCCCCCAGAACAACAAAGACATGTTTGCGTGGTCACCATCTAACATGCTCGGCATCGACCCAAACATCATCTACCACCGGCTCCATGTCAACCCTGCTAGCAAGCCCATGGTGCAGAAGAGACGCAACTTTACTCCCGAGTGGGTCTGGATCATTGAAGTCGAGATTGACAAGCTCCTAGCTGTCGGTTTCATTGAAGAGGTCTCCTACTCGGAATGGCTGGCCAACGTTGTTCTGGTGGCGAAACAAGAAAAGGGAAAATGGAGAGTATGCGTCGATTACACCAACCTCAACAAAGCATGCCCTAAAGACAACTTCCCATTGCCAAGAATCGACCAGATCATGGATTTAACTTCCGGCAACCTACTGCTATAAGGTCATGCCCTGAAGACTTCTTTCATCATCGAAGAACGCCGGAGCAACCTACCAAAGGCTCGTGAATAAAATTTTCAAGGAGCAGATCAGCAGAACCATGGAGGTGTACATGGACGATATGCTGGTTAAAGCCCCCAAGCGGGCACACCACCTCAAAAACCTCACCGAGGCATTCAGCCTGCTCTGCCAATATCGCATGAAGCTGAATCCAAGTAAATGCATGTTCGGTGTATCATCTAGCAGGTTCCTGGGCTACTTAGTGACGCAACGAGGTATTGAGGCATACCCGCGCCAAATCAAAGCCATTCTCGAGATGAAGTCGCCTTCCACAGTGAAGGAAATACAAAGCTTGACGGGCAGATCAGCGGCCCTCAATAGATTCCTCTCAAAATCTACCGACAAGTGCAGACCATTCTTCAAAGCTTTGAAGAATGGACAAAAAGACAAATCAGACGAAGAGTGCGAAGTAGCTTTCTAGAATCTAAAGACCTACCTTACTTCACCTCCCCTGCTCTCAAAGCCAGTTCCTGGTGAAGACTTGTTCGTGTACCTGGCAGTGTCCAACTCGGCCGTCAGCTCAGCTCTCATTCGAGAAGAACTTGGGGCCCAACATCCGATATTCTACACATCAAAAGCTCTCCTCGATGCAGAGACTCGTTACTTGAAATTGGAGAAGCTCATTTGGGCCCTTGTGGTTTCTGCGAGAAAGCTGCGACCTTATTACCAAGCTCACAGAGTCATCGTCATGACCGACTTTCCTTTGAGATTAATCCTCCACAACCCTAATGCTTCTCAGCGACTCATGAAGTGGGCTATAGAGCTAAGCCAATACAACCTCCTCTACCGACTGAAGACTGCAATAAAAGCTCAAGCCTTAGCAGACTTTGTTGTAGAATTCACACCATCAGCCGAAGAAGAGAAGCTGGTCAGCAAAAAGATGGAAAGTTCGAGAGCAGACAAGACCTCCACTGAACCTGACCAACCCAGAGACATGTGGAAGTTGCCCGTAGACGGAGCGTCGAACCAGAAAGGAGCTAGAGCAGGCATCGTCATCATCACCCCGGATGGAACCCTGCTAGAGCAAGCTATTACGCTTGGCTTCCCGGCTTCAAACAACGAGGCATTGCTCGCTAGCCTGCGCTTGGCAAAGGAGTTATCAATCAAAAAGTTGGCCATCTACTCAGATTCCCAGCTGATCACAAGTCAAGCCTCAGGAGAATACATGGCAAAGCACCCGAGGATGATCTTGTACCTGGACAAAGTCCAAGAGTTGTTGAAGGCATTTCCCACCTTCACCATCCAGCAAGTGCCCCGAGCAGAGAACGCGCACGCAGATGCACTGGCAAGCTTAGGATCGGCGCTGGATACCCAGTTCAGACGCTCCATCCCGGTCGAGCACCTCGACAAGCCTAGCATAGAAGAGGCCAAGCAGCCGGACCTCATGCAGATCGATGAGGATCCTAGCTGGCAAGACCCCATCATTGTTTATCTAGTGAATGAAAACCTACCCGAGGACAAGTTCGAGGCCAGAAAAATCAAGCAGAAGGCTGCATGAAAAGCGACATGCTTATCCACAGATCATACTCCGGGCCTCATCTCACTTGCATCAAGTACCCGCAAACGCTCAAGGTTCTTTGCAAGATACACGACAGTGAATGTGGAAATCACGCTGGGGGCAGATGACTTGCTCAAACGGCTCTCAGCATCGGTTATTTCTGGCCTACCATGCGTCAAGACTACGCAGAGTATGCTCGAAGATGTGATCGATGCCAACGCTACAAGCCGGTCCCTGGCCTGCCCGCTGAGGAATACCATCCGCAGAACAGTCTTTGGCCATTCATGCAATGGGCCATTGACTTGGTGAAACCTATGCCGACGGCACTGTTGGCTGTTGCGAATCTCACGGCTTGGTGCTCCAGCGTTCTTCTTTTGGATGCGGTGCGGTTGTGCGCGGGCGTGCCAGCACGGTTTACCGTGCGTCGAGATGGTGATGAGGTTTGGGTCGAGGATGGTTTATATGATGCGCATGTTTCGAGTTCGACTCCTAATCAAAGGATTGGGGCCGAGAGAGGAACTGATCTTGGCCGTTAGATTCACGGCATGAGCTACAAGGCCGTTTAATAGTGGTGTCGGTGGCGGGGTTTAGGCGGTGCTCCGGCGTGTTGCTCAGGGAGCGACGGTCGTATAATATATGAGTTGAATGAGATGACAACAGGGATGGTGCTCCGGCGCCTTGAAAATCAAGGGTCGTATGATATATTGATGAATGGATTTTCCTTACAATCTACCACTACTCCTAGGAAAGTAAATAAAGGTATTGAAAGTGCATTACAGGAAAATATAATTTGCTCCGTAGGAGGCTTTTGGTTTGGTGTTTGAACCCCTTGAATGTAGTCCTGAGCGTAGTATTTACAGGAGTCCTGGAGGGACAATCGAGGCTGACAAGACCTGTGAGTTGGAGCCTGACCGGGGCAAGTGGGTAGTCAAATCGGCATTTGGGATCGTGAAGTATGGTGGCTTGGGGTTGAGAAGTATGGTGGTGTGACCCCCATAAATCTCGGTCACTGCCCTGATCGTGGGTTCTGCCCCCTTGGCCATGGGAATGCATTTAATGCCCTGGTCTGGTGGTTGGTGATCTGACCTCAAGTCGTAAGATTACTTGTGAGAATGTCTGTGCCTAACAACCCTAATTTCCATCACCAAATCCTGACTTCAGTCACTTCCCTTGTGCATTAAATGCTTCTTGCGACTAGTCAGAGGCATTACTTCATCAAATGGGGCGTGGGACCCTGAGGCCACATGGCGATTTAACCACAGGTTCCTCGGCCATGTCTTTTACGGCCTTTGGCTTCGGCCTTCAACACTGCGGTCGCGAGGCCGAGAGGATTCTGCCTTTACAGTTTTTCTCTTGTTTTCAGGAAGGCGAAATACTTGACGAAACGGTAGGCGCCAGGGCCAAAAGGAAGTCCCCTCAATCAGCTTATGACCATGATTTATTAGGCACAAACATTGCCCCCACATCCCTAGATTTTTCGGTTGCAGCCTGGGCAGAGGCCGAAAGGATTCCAAGGGATGGACCCTTTGCATTCCCCCTGAAGTGCTTGACAGTTGGTGCTTTAAATGCATAGGTCAATCGGCGCATTAAATGCGTAAGCACGTCTTGTAGGCCATCATTGCCCAGACTTGCGCGAGCCGTCGTTTCGTCTCGTCAAACAAAGCGACGGCCTTTGGGCTTTTGACACATCATCGCGCCCCTTGAGCACGCTTGTCAGGCCGTTACGTCTCTCGAGAGAGCCACGCCCTTTTGTTTCGAATTCTAGCGCCAATATAAAAGCATGTCCTTCTTCAT